TATATATGAGTTAAACACATTTTCTAAATACAATTTACTAATAGGAGCTCGACAGTAATGTGAGGGTAACTTTGGTATCTTCTCAAAAAATGATTGAATCGTAGATATTTTTTCCTTATTTACAATATCTTTTTGTTTGGAAAAGTTTCCCTTTTTGAAACAAGAACTATCACCCGTTTTCACCCAATCTAAAACAGACCACTCTCCTAACGCCAGTGTAGAAAGGAACATCTTTTTACATACAGTTAGTACAACATTGTTTATCTTAAGATGGGGTAAAAGTAGGATAAATCTCGTCGCGATTTTTTCTTGGTGAATTGTTTCAACCTTATTTACAAATTTACAAGAACAGTTGCAAAGGTTTGTCTCTGTTTCTCTTTTTTCGCTCTTTTATTCTTGTTTGTTTGTAAATTGTCTGCAATATAGTCTGGAATGGCTTCACCTCGAAGGCGCTTATTCACTTGGTGTATGTACTCTTTTGCTCTTTAGTTTTTGCACCCTCTGAAGAGTCTTCTGAATCTGGGCAGTAGCTAGACCCAGAGTCCTCAAACAGATCAGGTACATCAAACAGACAATCGTTTCTTCAATAGTTGATCTACTAGTACTAGTGGATACGTGGTTTTCGTATTTCACCAGTAATTATATTGAGATACGAGTATATAATACTTTAACGCAGCGCACGCGTTTATCGCTCAATCCTGACACAAGGTGATGCATTCAGCGCAGAAAAGTATTTGACAAAATAATGATATCGTACCTCAAAAGCGCTAAAAATTGAGATACGAGGTTTTGACTTTATGACGGCGATTTAGCGTTTTTAATTAATATCGGAGTTATCGACCGAGCCCACACTAAAAGCTCACCCTGTATGTACAATGAACGATTTCATAATTAAAAAAATATACCTGGCCGCAAAGGGTTAATCTAGAATTGCATTCTTTACGGACTAGGACCATACGAGTATATCTTTTTCTCGGCAGGCAAGCTTAATACCAAAAACGCTTCTTCTCGAGATTCCTGGATTATCTACGCTACTGATTAGTAATGTAATTTTTGTATGATGAATATTATGGGAACAGGCAAAACGAAAAGGTAACATTTGTATAATTTAGAGAGTTATTCGAAGTTGAAAGTGCGTCCTTCGGGTGGCGCCAGGTGCACGCAACTTTTCAATCTTGACGAATGACGGTTTTGGCCGAACCGGTCGGGAATATATCTGCAGAACGTCGATTTTTTCACATCCGCCTATCGGACGGTATCTTAATCTTGATTTATGTAGCGAGTAAAACTGCGCGAGTAGAACTGATGGGATCATTCTTGGTAGGCCTACAACGAATAACAGGGTCATTTGGACTGTTAGAAGCATGTATTCTTTGCGCGTACAGAGCGGCTGTTGATACTGAAGAGGCCCGAAAGACATAGTCCAATTAGTGAAAAACATCATTGGAAAGATTGTTTGTAATATATGTTTTGATCTGGCTAAATGCGGTTTAACTGATGAAATGTAGGCATGTAGGTGAAGTCCGGAAAACCTGAACAGCATGCTTGTTACGTATCTTGAAAAGTGAAATTATGTCTTTTTTATATAATATAGGTTTTTTATGACATTATGTAGGTTTTTCTACAAGATGTCAACTTATCACTGGCTGTTGTACACTTGTTGTGTACTTGTTCAGTAGCTGTACGTCATGATACTTCAGCTATCAATGTTTGGCTCTGATGTGATGTAACATCTGCTTCAGAGATAGCGCTATTGGAGGACTGGAATGGCAGTGCATAGGTGTGTTGATGATAATTCCATTAGTTTCTTGACTGAAATACACTTACTTGAGATTTATGCAAAGTTAAAGATTATTTGCGCATCCGCTTTGTCTTATTCAACCTGAAAATTACATAAGCAAATTTGCTGAATTTCAAAAGAGAGAGCGATAAGATAAGAAAGTCCCTGATTGGTGAAGTATATTTGAACCAATAGGCGAACGAATATTATTACATTTATTAAACGTAAAAAAGTGATTACATTTCACATGAATTTTTGTTTCTAGTGATTTAAATTTTATAGATATTTATTTTACGATGTCAAGTAGAAAATGCAAATCAGCGCCTACATGTAGAGTAGTGCGAAAATACTTTGTATGTGATGCGTCATTCCTAATTTGTCTGTGATATGGCTTAAATAGACACAACGCGGGTGCGGTGCTGATTTCCCGTAATGCTTCTCAACGTTTCCGAAAACGCAAAAAAACGGTAAAAATCGTAATGTATAAATTTGAACATAACCTCTCTTCAGAAAGTACAACACAAATAACCCGTCTGGCACAGCTAATAGATGTATTTTATAAGCAGGATATTCAGTAATAATTTTCTCACATAGCAAATATAACTGATTTTATACACTTGTACTTCACTTACTTGAAGGGTTCTGTGGATATCTTACAGGAGCGGATCTAAAAATATTTTTTGAGACTCAAAAAATGCTGGAGGGCACAGGATTCATGTTCAGGAAGGAGACTGTCTCAGGGAAGGGGGTATCGGCGATTGAAAATTGGAAATCGGGGAGGGGGTCATCTCATAAGTGACTGATAATCAAAAATCGGATAACTGATGAATTAAAAATAAATATGCGTCAGTATTTTGTCTTTAGATCAACTTTGTTTCAAATAATAAAAAAAAATATATACTCATAAAGGAACGGATAGTTATTTGAACCGTAAGAAACAAACAGTACTTGTTTAAATAAAAGACATTCAAATGTTATAAGTTATCAAAAAAAAATAGTATCTTCTGATTAAAAATCAAAAAACGCATTTTCAGGTGCCTCAATTAACTTTTGAAATTATGTCAAACTTTTTCAACACTCGTAATTATGAACGCTGTTTTAGCTAAAGGATGAGGCTTGTTTTCAATGTACATTATCATCTGCGAACCCAACTTACGCTATCAAAATTCCGTTGCCCCGGTAAGATATCTCGCTGTTACGTGGAAGCCCCCCCCCCCCCCCCCCCGACCCGACACCCGACAATGCCGCATGCCACATGTTGCCACGCATGCGTCAGCTTTCTACAAGATTCAGCGTGTCGAACGATGTCGGCTTTTATCCGATAGCCATCGGTTCGGTGCTACATGTAGTTTGCGACATGGAGTGGACTATAGAGAAAACAACTTTGTTTATTGAAGATTATCACAATTCTCCAGAATTATGGAATAATAAAATTGCTGCTTATAAAGACAACAGACTTAAAAATGATAAGTTAAAACAAATAGCGACGAAATACGAATGTACCGTGATTGAAGTGAAAAATAAAATCAAAAATCTACGTTCCGCGTTCCATCGTGAAAGAAAAAAGCTACAGTCAAAGAAAAGTGGCTCATCTCCTCTCACGAAAGGCAAATGGTTTGCGTTTGAGCTTTTGAGTTTTTTACTAGACGTCGATAAACATAGACGAACAACATCAACGGCCAGCGACAACGGAGAGGAATCTGCGGTGAGTTTTTTTTGCACTAAAATATAGGGTCGCACCAGCACCAAATCGATCTTTTAATAGCAAAACTATAGGTACATAATTTTTTACATTACATCTTCAACATTTGCACATGTATAGTTTTCTATAAAAATCCCGATTTGGTTTCTAGTGAGACTACAATCGTAAATATTTTCAAGAAAACATATATTCAATTACAATAGGTATTTATGTTTGTACTAATAGGTATAAAGCTTAAGCATAAAAATCCTGCCAAGGCACACGCCCTTCATCTGATGTAAAAAATCTCATAAATTCTTTTCTAACTTCTTTAGCTTCAAAAGTTGACCTTCGAGCTCTATGTTGTAAATTCAGCACGCCATTGTCGCCTTGGGTAGTAACCCTCCATGATCCTGGGATAATGTTTCCATCTCGTGTTTCATGATCAAATGATCCCTGAGGAGAGTATAGTGGTCTCGACGTTTTACTTCTTCTCAAAAAGTTATGAAGATAAATGCATGTTGTTGTAATGATTTCAGCATTGTCCACATGCACCATAAGTGGTTTCCTAAAGACACGAAACACTGATGCTAGCAATCCAAAAGAATTTTCCACTACTCTGCGAGCGCGTGAATGTCTATAGTTATAGACCCTCTCACAGGAGCCTTTGTCATGGTAGCCGCTGAAAGGTTTCAAGATGTGTTCCTGTAAAGGGAACGCATCATCCGTCAATATAACATAAGGTGATAATCTATTGCTCCCAGGAAGTGACTCCGGAGCCGGTAATGCTAGATTATTATTTGCCAACTTTTTATAAATACGTATTGTTTCTCGAAATACACCTCCGTCAGATATCCTGCCTTGACAACCAATATTGGCGTATATAAAATTATAGTCGGCATCTGTAACTGCCATCAAAATAATGCTAAAAGTTCCTTTGTAATTATAAAATAAGCTGCCACTGTTTTTTGGGTTTTGCAAGACGATGTGTTTCCCATCACACGCTCCAATACAGTGTGGGTAATTCCAGAGTACTTCAAAATCCCTTGCTATCTTTTTCCATCCATCTTCAGTGTCGGGAATCTGAAAAAAATAAAATCCTATTATCTATTTCATATAATGTTTATATACAGAATTCGAAAAAATTACTAGAACGGCTAATTATGTTATACAAAAGTTGTTTGACTTTCAACAATCTACGCATCCAAAATAAAGTCGAATATACGAAGTGGCTGATAAAGTTGCGAAGCAATAAATTTTGATTTTTTTGAGATAAAATACTCGATTTATTGTTGCATAATGAAGATGATATTTCGGTCTCCAACACACAAGATACCGAAGCAGAAGTCAGTAATATAGACGGTCACAGAAGCTGTGAAGAGAGAAGGGACATAGTTATTGCCCCTAAGAAGAAGACAGAGAAAAAGAAGCGTTTTATATCTCCTTCCGATCGCGAGGAAGAAGCATATAATATTCTGAAAAGTTCATGCCAAAGAGATGAGTTTTCAACGTATGGAGAGCATGTAGGAAATGAACTGCGGCATCTAAGCCCTAGAGCACAAACGATTGCAAAGCACTTGATCAACAATATATTATATGACGCAAGTATGGGCAAATTTGATGACCAAACTAGCACTCGCACTTCCACAGCTTGTGAAACCAACGAAAGTAATTACAATCAACCATGCTCCGTGGCTTCTGCTAGTTCTTACCAATCAGGATTTTCTGATCACAGCAATATCTATGTACTGCCAACTGACACCTTGAGCAGTGAACCACCCTCCGTGTCATCTGCTTGTTTGCGCCAATCAACCTCTTCTGAATCCAGCAATATTTATGTACAGCCATCTGACAACTTTGGAAACAATAAAGAACAAGATCTTTCGACTTTCACAGTACTCTCTGAGTTTTTAGTTTCTAAGCCCTAAACTAATATATTATATAAACGCTATTTTTACGAACAATAAACTATTTAAAAATAAGTCATTGTAATTTTACTTACCTTAACAAAATCATGTAAGACATCGATTAGAGCTTTGCACACCTCTGGAATAATTCGTGAAATGCTTGGTACAGATATCCGGAACAGATACATAAGTGATGCATAGCTGTCGCCGGTAGCCAAATATCTTAATGTTACTAATAACCTAATACGAGTTGGTATCGCTTCACGAAAGTTGGTATCAGATTTTCTTATAATCGGTGAGATCTTCTCTAATAGGTATTCAAAGTCTTCTTGACTCATTCGAGTAAAATTTCGAAATAAAGCTTGATCGTCAGCAATCAATTCTTTTCTTTTTTCTATTCAAAGCTATTACCAGATATGCAGCCGCCGCAACCGTTTGTAAAGACATGATGCCGCAAACTGAAGTTGCCTCTATTGAATTGATTAAGACGCATGCTACACTCATGTACGACAAAACACATGCCACATAGGGAAACAAAATCCGCATGCGGCATTAATAGACTTTTGGACAACATTGTCGAACGTCAACAAGAGGCGACACTAGGAAACATGTAGCATGCCGCATGTCGTTCACTGTTGCCTCAGTGGAATTGCGCCTTTACACGTATTTATGTCGCGCCACAGCATCGTTTGCTCTAACCGCACTGCCTCGTATGGGGTTAAGTATCGGGGAGAGGCGACGTTTCCAGATGCACTACCAGTAAGGTATATAATGTCTAGTTGTATGGACCCGTTTGACTGACTTTTTTCTCAGAGGGTCTTGTTTGTGCTGAACATAATCCTTTATGGGCTGGTAACGGCGTAGCATGGGGAGTGCAGCATCAATCTGCTTGATTCGTCAACTGATTGGAGATGTGTTGAGGATCCACGATTTCTTATACACTAAACTGCTGTCTTGATTCGGGTCGAAAGGCCGTCGTCGGTTGGAATTTCTTCCTAACATTTCGCTAGCACGAGTGGCAAGATTCTTCAGAGGTCCTTCCATTTCCGATGCTGGATGTAGACTGACGATTTCTCTTGCGCAGGTTGTATTTATACCGGAGGGTAGGTGCCGTGGCTTGTTCCGATTCGGTTGATTTCGGGATGTCGATCGGCACTGCTCGGGCGTTTCTGAGGATCGGGTGCCAGATCGGGGTGAGTCTGAGGGTCTCTTCCTTTCTGTTGAAGTTATCTGGATGTTTGTGAATCTCGATAGCTTCCCTGACCAGTCTATTGTGATAGCCGTTGGCTGATGACAGCAACCTGCGGCTCCCAAAGTGTATCCTGTGGTCCCCATTGCTTAGTGCATGTTCTTATACACTCATTGACATGCCTGGGCATAGCGCTGATAAGGTGGTCGATATCCTGTTGAGGTATCTCATTCCAGGCTACTGCAACTTAATGAGTAAGAGCTTCTAAAGTCTGTGGAGAGTGTTGCAAAGAGCCTGCGACCTGACATGTCCCAGACATGTCAATTTTAGATGGATCAGGCGATCGTGGTGGCCAAGGTAAACGGTTGGTGCAATGTTGATCCATGAAGGATATCAATGCTCTGGTAACATGCCTGGCATTGTCATGCTGAAACATCGGGTTTGGATGGTGTTTAGGTATTGAATAAGATTATTCTCCACTACTTCCCGAATATAGCGTCGGGCTGTCATATTGCCTCTGATGAAAATTAGTGGTGATCTGCTACCATAAAATTAATAGCACCCAATACCATAACTTCCACGGTGTGGTGAACGTGCCGCTCTCAGTCAAATTGTGGGTCACGTCTTTCACCACGTCGCCTTCTCACTCTTGCCCGACCATCGTGCATCCCCAAACAGAAGCAGGATTCGTCACTAAAAACCACCTGATTCCATTCCCGGTCCCATATCTCTACACCAGAGCAAACGGTTATGCCGATGTTCAGCTGTGAGAGGTAGCACCCAATGTGAGCGATAATAAATAAGACAAAACTGTCGTATTCGGTAATATACGGTACGCATACCAACCGTCCTTCCATGCTATTCAAAGCACTGATTAGCGATGGTTCGAGTACTACTGAATCTGTTTCTCAGAGCTAGAAGGCTTAACCGGAGGTTTTGTCGCTCTGTGGGACGTCCAGAACCCCTTGCTCGCTGTCCTCGCTTTCCTGAGTCCACACTCGTTCACACTGCAGTGTATTGCGTACGGATCTGTTGGTCCTCCTAGAAACTTCTCTTATCGATATACCGGCTTCACGCAACCCGACAATTCGACCCCTCTCAAAGTTACTTAGCTGGGATACCCGGCGAGTTCTATGCACTCTAGACATTTTGAGCAATCACAAAAAGGCTGCTCAATAAGCTGCATGAAATTGAACATCTAACTGACACCATAAATGTACGAAAACTAAATGCTTCTCTATCAGCAAGCAATACACGCAGCCACCAGAAAAACTAACAGAAAAACCTGACCATTTTATCACTGGTTGTTCATGACAAGATAAATCGATATGTAAAAAATTCTTGAATTCTAATAAACATACGTACTATAGGTGTTTACCTTTTTTTATCACTCAGAATATTTGGACAGATAACCGTTTTGATTTGTTTCCTTTTTTGGTTAGGAAGAATGTTCAAATTTAAATAGATCACGTAAATTGTCGTTCACATAAATAATACATAGACCTGCCAGGTGCCCTCCGTTCAGGAGAACGGTCCTCTTTTTTAGTATTTCAGACGAAAGCCAAGTAGGTAATGAACCGAAGAAGAGGAAAACAGACCTTTACGATTATTTTGACCTTGAGGTAAAACAACATCGAAGATAAAATTTGTTTTTCGAACATCTGCGGGATCAACAGCAACATTGATGCTGTTCATCACTACCTGCAATCCAATCGTCCCGCCGTGCTTTTCTTGGCGGAGACAAAAATCTCAGAGACTGCACCGCATAACCATGTCAACTTCCCAAACTACGAGGTGCACTCCAATCTGAGAAAGAACGGGGGAGTTGTGGCTTTTGTCCGCAGCAGTCTTTCCTGCTCCAGGGATCTTTCTTTGGAATCAGACCGGAAGGACATTCTGTGGCTTCGCCTCAACTCCAAAACATCACCCAAATTTATTTGCTGCCTTTATCGCTCTCCCTCGAACCATAACTGGGATGACCTACTCGAATGCCTCGCCGTCCAGATCGACTTCCTGAACATCAATCACCCCGCTTCAGAGGTAGTTCTTCTCGGTGATTTCAATGCCCATAATGAGCTTTGGTTGGGATCAAATAAGACCGATGCAGCAGGTCGTGCAGTCGAAGCGTTCGCCCTTACTCAAGGGCTGACCCAGCTGGTGACGAACCCTACATTTTTCCCCCGCGTCTCGTCACACGCCAGTAGCCTGCTGGATCTCTTTCTGACCACGCATCCTGCCCCTTACAGCACTGCTGTCCTGTCCCCCCTGGGTAACTCAGATCACGGTGTTGTGGAGGTTAGGTTTCGGTCAGAAGCCGCTGTGGCAGCAGAAACTCGCACAGGCCGCAAAACTTGGCATTACGGACATGCCGACTGGGAAGGGCTCAGAAACTTCTTCTCTAGCTTTCCTTGGAGAGATGTCTGTTTCACTGACGCGGATGCGTCGACTGTCTGTTCTTCAATAACCGAAATTATCCACGTCGGAATGGAGGAATACATCCCTCACACAGTGAAAGTTCCTAAACCAGGGTCCAACGGCTGGTTCAACAAATCGTGTGACACTGCTCGCCAGCAGAAGATCAAGGCACACAGAACCTACTTACAAAACCCCACTGTAGAGAACAGACAAGCCGACGTCGAGTCCAGAAACAAATATAACGAAGCGGTTAGCAATGCCAAAAACCAGTATAATATAAAAGTTAGGCACAGGGTAATGTCGCAGCGCAATGGCAGTCGGTCTTTCTGGACGCTGGCCAAGCAGATTGAAAAGAACTTCTCACACAGTAGCCTTCCACCACTTACGTGTCAGGATGGAACTATTGTATTCGACTCAAAGGCCAAGGCGGAAGTGCTAGCCAAGATCTTTGCTGCCAACTCCACCATGGACGTCCCCACCAACGCCCAAGTGCCGTCAATTCACACTATGCGGGAGGTAACATTCAGGCATAAGACCGTAGGACGAGTGCTCTTGTCGCTCGACATCAACAAAGCTTCTGGTCCGGACTTGATTCCTGCCATTGTACTAAAGAGGTGTGCTTTCGCGTCTCTTCCAGATATCTTATGAATCCGGCACCTTCCCAGGAAACTGGAAATTTGCTCATGTACAGCCCATCCCCAAAAAAGGATCTAAGACCGACCCTTACAACTACAGGCCTATAGCTCTGCTTTCTGTTATAAATAAAGTGATGGAGAGGTGCATAAATCGCGAGCTTCTGGACTACCTCGAACGTCACAGCTTGATTAGCGACAGGCAGTACGGTTTCCGGCACCAACGATCCACAGGCGACCTCCTAGCTTACGTCACGCAACTGTGGAGTAAACTCATCCAGTCTCATGGTGAGGCTCATGTCGTTGCTCTTGACATCACGAAAGCGTTCGGTCAGCTGTGGCACGCTGCCCTCTTAAGCAAACTTCCATCCTATGGCCTCCCAGAAAAGCTTTTCATATGGGTGGCTGACTTTATCTCTGGCCGCAAGATATCCGTCGTAATTGACGGATTCTCCTCTTCATCCCACAACGTCAACGCGGGTGTTCCCCAGGGATCGGTCTTGGCTCCAACACTGTTTCTCTTACATATCAACGACCTCCTTTCCTGCACGATCAACCCAATCCACAGCTTCGCTGATGACAGCACTCTACATGCAGGAATTCACAGTGACAAGCCGATCTCTGCCGCTGAGCTGGAAAAAAGAAGACTAGCGACGACTACTTCTCTGACAAGAGACCTGGAGGCTGTCACTGCTTGGGGACGCAACAATCTTGTACAGTTCAATGCTTCCAAAACACAGTACTGTACTTTGACGAACAAAAAGCGTCCTAGCGCTCATACAGTTTCGATGGACGGCCGAGTTCTACCAAAGAGCTATTCATTTCGGCTGGTCGGAGTCCAGATCACCGAGGACCTGATCTGGCACGAACACATCTCTTCAATAGCTGCAGCTGCTGGGAAAAAGCTAGGCTATTTGTTTATTGCTAAGAAGTACTTTTCTCCGCATGACCTTCTCACTCTATACAAGGCCCAGGTAAGGCCTAGCCTCGAGTATTGCTCACACATTTGGGGTGCTGCCGCCCCGACTACATTGTCCATGCTCGATGCTGTCCAGAGGAGGGCGGTCCGACTGATCGATGACTCTTCTCTAACAGACAGTCTCGGGACTCTTTCGCACCGGCGGGTCTTCGGCGATCTAGCTCTTTTCTATCGCTACACCAACGGGCTTTGCTCCTCAGAGCTCTCTTCCATGATGCCGCCGCGCGATGCGCCTGCCAGACAGACCCGCCTGACTTTGGCCTCACATTCTAATAGTGTCGAACTTCGTA